TTTCACAGTTCTGTAGAGGTAAACTGGTGAATCCCTAGGCATTCCATTGCTTCTGATTTCATAGAATCTAGCAGCTAGAAGCTAGAACAAAGTGTCCCTTCCATGACTTTCTCTTTATTACGTGGTGTAAGAGAATACACATTGCAAGATGGATTCTGAAAGCCTCTTTCTAAATCTCTCGGAGTGATCAGAGCTAAATACCAGGTAGGAAATGTCACAAAGTTAAAATGAGTGTGTGGCATCTTTCCAAGGATGAGTCTAAAACAGGCATATGAAAATGATAAGGTGTCCTGTGTACCGATTTCCTACCTAGGACTCTTCCCAGATTGCACTGTGGAAACACTGTAGATTTATAGCTTCACTACACCATGTCCTGAACACGAAGACAAACCACACTGGAGGAACTCCATTTCAACCACAGAGAAACTGTAACAAGCCCCAAACCAGCAGACTGAGTAAGTAGTAGATCCGGGAATAGAGTTGAGAAGGCTCTGATGCCTCTTTACAGACCACAGGCTGCTTCTTCTGAACATAATGATAGAGCATCTGCCCCTGTTACTCCCCAGAAGATGACACACCAGGAGGAAGCCATATGAGGGCATTGTCCAATGACATATAGTTTTTGGTTTCTGAAGGCTCCTTAGAAACAAGAAAATTGGAAAGTAGCCATCACAACCATTGAGTGGTTGCTGCCTGATATCTCTGTTTGGGGCACTTAGTTGCTAGCACAAAGTTTACTTCTCTGCTGACATGTTCAAAAGTGACAATTTATAATTATGGAAATGCTTCTTTCAGTTCTTTATAACATTCTGTAATTTTATGGAGAGCTTCCTTGGAATATGAAAAATGGTACCATAAGTATAAGTGTAGTTGTCTTCTTCATGATTTGTCTCTACTCTTCCAGTTTCCTCTCCACTCTTTCCTTCGTTCTTCCTTCAGTAGATTCTACAGTACCAAACAACAGTTCTAAAGTCTGCTTTTGAAGATCTCATCAGTCAGCTTCGCTCTGTTAGGCTGGAAGTACTTCTGTCTGTCATTACTATGTCATCTGACACAATTTGCTTGGATTTATATGTATTTCACCACTTATTGTGTGGTAAAGAGCTTTTATTATTTGGATTATTTTCTTTGTGAAGAACACCATTTGAACTTCCTTTAGTAGCTGTATCTAAACTGTCTTGTTTTAGCCTCGTTCCTGAAGAGAAGTTTTCAAACAGTACTATATAGGATGGCGGTGATCTCTTAGTCTTTGAGGACATTATCTCACATTTAATAGATTCTTTTGCTGCCATTAAATATTTTTGAAGCTCTTTGAATATAGAGTACTTATTGTTAGTCATTGCACTAAACACACTTACCATTTCATGCAACCCACATACAAATCTGTGGACAATAGTCACATCTTTCTTCATGGGAAAACACAGGCACAGAAAAGTAGAAGATACATAATATCTTCATCTGCATAGATGCCAAGATTTCAGTGTGAACGCTCTGACTCCATAGCCTGTGGCCCAGAACCATTATAACAACCAAATTATAGAAAGAACAAAGGTCTAACATGTTCAATATTAAAGTTATTTGAGAGCAATATTGGTGAAAGCAAGGTTGCTTTTTTTAAAAAAAATTATAGATACACATATTACCAGACCAATTGGTACTATCCAGTTGTTATGGTTACACCTTATCCTATGTATCTGTGTCCATATCTGTAAGATGAAAATCATGAGCCGGGCGGTGGTGGTCCACGCCTTTAATCCCAGCACTTGGGAGGCAGAGACAGGTGGATTTCTGAGTTCGAGGCCAGCCTGGTCTACCGAGTGAGTTCCAGGACAGCCAGAGCTACACAGAGAAACCCTGTCTCGAAAAACCAAAAAAAAAAAAAAAAAAAATCATGGCAGTGGTCCATAGTGTGGTTGTAAAAGGTAATTGTGTGCCTTATATCTTATGAACTGTCAAAACACGTTTGCTGATATTAGCAATAGTATAGTGAGCCAGGAAACCAAGAGCCGACTCTCCTCTGTGTCACATGGTGTGTGATGATGGAGTACTAAATAAATGGTACAATGGAGCTGGGCAAACAATGTAGGAAGTAGATACTTCCACCATGAAAACTGTATGGTCTACATCCATGATGCTGTTAGAAGAAAGTCTGGACTATAAGTTAATGCACACGCAAAGACTATCTTAGGCATATTGTCCAAAGGTGAGTCCATATGTAAAAACTTCAAGTAATCTTATTAAAACCCTGGAGTTTCTGTGGTAAAAATCAACAGAAACACTATTTTAGTTTCATTTCTGTTGCTGTGACAAAACAAAACAAAAAACTCTTTACTAAAATCAGCGTGGGAGAGGAAAGGGTTTATTTGGCTCACAGTTCCAGGTCACGGTCCATTATTGAGAGAAGTCAAGGCAGGAATTCAAGGCGGGCCTACTTGTTATTCCACACAGCATTATCTCTGACCAAGGAACTCATTTCACAGCCAGAGAAATACAAAAGGAACCATTGAGAATGCAGGCTGCTAGCTCACAGAGCAGCGTATACTGAGCTAGCTTTTCTATATAGTTCATATCAACTGCCTAGAGCTTCTGCTGCTCACAGTGAGCTGGACTGTCCTCCATCACTTAACAGTCAAGACGGTCTCCCACAGACATGCTCACAGGCCACTAATCCAAGCAGTTCCTCAGTTGAGAGTCTTCTTTCAGATGGTCTTAGACTGTGTCAGGTTGACAGTTAATGCTGTCCAGGACAAACACCAGCTAAGGGATCAGTGGCACAGCATAAATTAGGAAACCCATTTGCAAAGTCTGTGATAGAATGTACTGTCCTGAAAAGATAAAGACTTCTTATTAAAATAATAAATGAAAGGACAACAAAAATGAATCAAAGAACAAAAAGAATTCAAAATGACCAAGATATGGAAAGATCCAACAGAAAACAGTGTTGAGTTTTATTAGCAATTGAAAACGAGACAAAACCCTCCAGTCTCCTGCCACAGCAGCCATTGAAGAGCAGCAGCCAGATCTTTGTGACATCCCTTGGCCAGGGTCTTAACAAGGCCACAAGTGACTAAGACTCTGTCCAGGTGAAGTACAGCCACTGTAGCGGACAGCTCAACAAGCACATCAGATTAGTGTGGCATGAGGGCAGGTGCACCAGGGAACTACTGAAGCCCTCCAAGCCTTTGAGTTTATCAGTCCATGGGTGAGGAAGTACATCCTCCCAGGAGGAATCAAGAGGAGCCCATTGATTCCTGGCTGCTGTGAGGAAAATCAATCTCAGAAAGTACTGAGTCCTTCCCTCATATATACAACACAAACCTTATAGAGGAAGGGAGGGAGGAAAATTGATTTAATCTCAATTTCACCTATGAAATGTTATCGTAATTGTAAACGGTAGATGACTAAGGACAAATACATGATAATTGTATATGAGTAAATATAATGGAATCATGGACTTAGCGAGATCTTTGTTAGTTATGGTGCTAGGAAGGGGTGGAACCAGAGAGAGCTCTGACAGACTTCTCTCCATTGTGATTGTGTGGGTGTGTGGGGTGGGGGAAGTTGTAAAACTGTCCTCATGGCTGAAAGAAGTAGAAACGAGAACAGAGTTCAGTATTTTGTAGTGACAACTTTGACACTGTGAGGATGAAAGAAGTTGTAGCTTTGGTTTTGTTACCATGTGAGGAGGTTTTAAAATCAGAGTTCCAAGAGTTCGTGCAGACAGGAGTGAGCCACTGAGGAGGAGGAATTACAGCTATTATATAGAGACATAAATCTGATGGAGTAAGGTCCAGAGAGAACAGACGTAAGGAAGGAAAGCTGTTTCTCTCTGGGTGAGTTGAAGAGCCCGCTAAGGGATTGAGCACTTGTAGACAAGGAGAGTAGCAGGCTGTTGAAGCTGTTTTGTCTGAATGCTTATATAGAACTGAACCCCAATATGGAACTCAAAAGAAGAGGGCCCTGTTGAGGGTGAGCCATCATAGATTAGGATTGGTGCCCATATGAAAGAGGCTGAAGGGAAGGCATGTGCTTGCTGCCTCTGCCATGCAAGTGTGCAGCAAAGAGATGCTGCCTGTTGGAAGATGGTCCTCCCCAGACAGTATCTACAGTGAGTTGGTCCTTGAACCCAAGCCTCCAGAACTGAGCAGTAGACTGCTCTGTTTTTATATGACCCAGGATAGGACATTCTTCTTTAACAGTATAGCATGACTAAGAATAAGACTTTTGAGTTTGTGTTAATGTCCACACAGACATGGAAACAAATAGGAAATCTGTGATGCTGGCCAGGCCTTATAGCTGGATTTATCTGCTGTCATGGTAGAGCATGGGAGTATTCAGAGTCAGAAACAGCAAATGGACCAGGGAGTCCAGAGAGTTATCCCATAGACAGATAACTGCCTTTGTCGTGCATAGATGGAGTGGACCAGCTGAGTTTGGGGATCGAAAGGGTTAGGCCTCACACACTCTGCACTACTGGCCATTAGTGAGCTGGACATTTTCCCAGTGGGGTTTTTTCTTTCCACCTTTCATTTGTTTTGCTTCTCCTGCTTTGCCTTGATTTATGAACCCTGTATCTTAGTTTTCAAAATAATAGACAATTAAAGCTTCATTAGTTTGTCAGTTGACTTCTAAGTGTAGCCAGAAGCACTGTTTTCTGAATAACTGCAATCCTTTGTTTATACATAGCTTTTATAGTACACTTTGCATACCTTTCATTAACTCAGAAGATTTTGTTTCCATTGAGTTTTACATTCTTTGAGTATATGGATCATATTTTTGTCTGAGTTTTTGTCATTTGGCATTACTTCATAGTAGCAACCCAGTTCTTTTTTGTGGTAAGCATGCTGTCAGTCTTTGCTGATAATGTGTTAAACATTTATGCTAAGCATCTAGACAGGACTGTAAAAAGAAATTGGTGTGTCTTTTCTATGAGCTAGTTTCAAATGTCTACTTAAAATATTATTTCATTAATGTCTAAAATGCATGTTTTTACCTCATAGATATGGCATGAATTGCCTTATTCAGTTTGAAGATTTTGCCAATCTGAATGCATTTCGTCTCCTGAACAAGTACCGAAACAAGTATTGCACATTTAACGATGATATTCAAGGTAATCACATTGCACTGTGTGTGGATCAAGAATAACGTGACACTCTTTGGTCAGACAAGAGAGAAATGCAATGACCTGTGTAAGTAAAGGCAGGAAGGGGCACAGGGAAGATGTCTAGTAAGATCATGTCACGGAGTGATGTAGACATGCAAGACACACAGAAGTTTGGTGTGCAGCTCTGGGTTGTTTGAGGACCCTGTCCATACCCCTCAATATACATCAGAAAAGAAGGAGAAAAGTTAAAGCCTGCATGTTCACCCCACGTGACTATTATAAAAAAAACACCACAATATGAATAAACTGAAGGACTGAGGTTGCAGGTGATTAAAACGTTATCACAGTGATCCAGAAGGGTAAGGTTTGTGGTGTAGAATCAGGAGAGGGAGGGAAGCACTGAGCTGACAAGGTACCTGTTAGGGGGGTGACAGACCATAGACAATGCACCCTCTTTCAAACTAGAAAGTTTCATATTTTCACAGCTTTGGGACTCCAGTAACTTTCAAAATTAATTTTCTGTTTTAAAAGTATTGTAATCTCTGGAAAGCTGTTGTATAGATAGTGAGAAAATTTATGCTTTAAATACCGTCTGCATTAAACAAATAGTTTTTCCCATTAGATATAAATTATACCTAGGTGTGTATGTGTGTGTGTGTGTGTATGTATGTATGTGTGTGTATATATATATATATGCATATAAAACACATATACATAGAAACTTAACAAAATAAACATGAAAATATCTGAAATTAGTTCACAGTTTTATTGAAATCCTGTAGATATTAGGTTTCTGTTAAAAACCAGGATTTATATTGGATGATTTTAATCATAATTCTGATTGCCTTTCATATTTGAGAAAGCATCATAGAATGTACAGGATTATACATGAGCTCCTAGAAATCTGATAAAATCTCCAGCTATTATGACATAATAAAGAGGGAAGTCCACAAAAACAGACTGCTTGTTGTTCAAGGGTATAAATGCATATTTGTCTTAGCCATAGTCTCTAAGCCTCACTCCAGTGAGTGCTGTAGCTTTGGTTTTAGAGTCAGGGCCTCACTGTATGCAGATGGGCCTCACACTCAGTGTCCTGTTGGCTGAGATCACATAACCACCAGGCTGGCATATGAATAGTCTGCTGCATCTAGTTGATGTTTCAGGCATATGCTTTGACCATGGACTTTTGTGTAAGCTGCTTGTGGTTTTCTATGCAAGCTCTGGTTTTCCATCCCACTCCCCCCTCCTTCAACATCAAGCCTTATATGAAAGCCTTATAAGGGAACCTATTTCATTAGGTCATATTTTATCATAGATAAAGGACAAACACAGGGAGGGAGTTACGTAGTTCTAGCAACCTGAGACCCAGATGGCTTCCGTCTTACTGCTGTGAATGCTTTTCTGGGTGTCTTAATGTCTGCAGCACGCAGCCCTCTTACTGGTACTGGCCTGAACACTGTGCTGTTGCCCTGCCACTGACCTGCTGATCTCTTCCCACTGCATTGGCTGTTCACCTCTTCCCTCTGACTGGCACATGACAGAACTTCGGGCCTTTTCTTCTTGCTTTAGTCTATCCTCTTAGGTCATATTCCATATTGTGACATTCTACTTTCAGGTTTATTTCTGCATTCGAGATTTCTTCGAACTCCAGGGCACCATGTTCATCTGTTTATTAACAGCTCTTCTTAGATATCTCAGCGTTACCTCATTGTGAAACCATCCCAAAGCAAACCCATTTCCTCCCCAGTGCAACCTTCTCCCTGTGCTCCCTTCTCAGTGAACTTCAGCCAAGTGCTTCCCGCCACTAAGTAACCCTGATGTCATATCAAAAAAAATGGTGTCTTCCACGGATTCAGTTATGTGTTGCTGCTGTTTTCTAAGAAGCCTATCCATGTGCACTCTTGCTCTTCATGGAACATAGTTCCTGGATAGTCACTTTACAGAGAGCTACAGATTTCTTGGAATTGAGTATTTAGGGGATTTCAGAAGGAAATCCAGAATTTCCAGGTATTAAGTGTCCATGTGAGCTATAGAAAGGGAGTCTGGTTTTGATACGTGGCAGCCCTGACTCTTGGGTACCCTCTATAATGACATAGTGGCTTTAATGCACACAGTACAGGCTAATATCTTAAGTCACCCATCAGTTCATTTTGATGTGGTTTTGTCTATAGCAGCCTCCAGTGACCTGTGGAATAAGCCTATTCCTTTCAAGGTCTAGGAAAGTCTATAAGCAGTGAACACTTGTCTAGTACATACAATGTCCGGAGTTTATTCCCAGCTTTTCAAAAGTAGCATCAAAACAAACCTACATCTCCTTCCTCTACAGTATTTTTTACCTTTGTATTTTTGTGGCTGTCACAGAAATATGTATAAGAATGTTAAGACCAATATTATATGTTTGAGAGTCATTATTCAGAGTGAATGAGAACCAGAGTTAAATTTAAGAAGGTTAAATCACCAAACCAGGAATTTGAGTGATCGCTTCTGTCTGTCAGGACCATTAATTAAGGTTAAGGCCTGGCTACATCAGAAGTGAAGCCTACAGATGAAGTTGAGGTCCAGCGTGTGAGGTGTGCTGAAGATGCTGGAGAACTCGCCAGGCTTGCCAGCGTGGAGACAGTAAATGCTGGGTTCCCACCCTCGCTGCCTGTACACATAATGCTTACCTATTTCCTCATAGGAATTTCAAAATAATACTACCCTCAGAATGGAAAATACAGGTTTCAGAAAAATGCATCTAATTCCTTAGAGAAAGCCTATGGGAAGTCCTGGAGTTTTGACTAGAAATGAGTAAACCACCCTGAGCATCTCTCTACTTCAGAGTTGTGTCTCTGTGACAGGGTTTCTCCACATGTTTGTCTTATCTTTTGAACCCTACGTTTTTCCCATTGTGCCCATGAATGTTGTCAATGAAAACGATTATGTAACTATTTCAGGCCTGCAATGTATATAAAGAGCTTGTATCTTGTCCTTGAAGGGACTTTCTTCTCTTCTCTCTTTTGAAACAGATGTGTTATTTAATGATAATATTTATGAAAAGTATTTGATTAGAAAATAACATAGCTAACTATACCAGTAATCTAAAATAATATTAAGTGAAATTGGCTTTGCTTTGGTGGCATTTTATGCTTTAGGCCATCTCTTCAGGGAGTTTCCTGTCCTTTTGCCTTTCTCTTATTCTGCGGAGGTTCTGGTCTGCTCTGTCTGCTGGCAGTTCTTTCTCATAGTATTCTCTGTGTTAAAAAGAAGCTTGTACATGTGTAGTCCTCCCTACTGAGTAAATAAATTTCACTTCATTTTTTTCAGTATAGCGTTCTTCCCTGCCTTCCACTATGCCTGATGCTTCTGGTCCATATCTCCGCTTGTTTGTTTTAAAATCTGTTTTTCTGCTGCTTTAGTGCAGTTTGTAGGGGAAAGGACTGCTATTTGTGTGCACTTTCTCCCACTTTCCACAGGGAGCCATCCCTGCCTGTGTGTCTTGCACATGCTGCAGCTGGTCTGTGTCCTCCCACCCGAGGCTGTGGGGATCTTGAATGCTCTGCACTGCTGGGAGCAGGTGGTGCATGCTCTAACCTTCAGCTCGGCCTGTGTAAATTCACCCATGTCCTCAACTCTTCTTGTAGCATCTGATCTTTTAATAGCACATGAGGATTTATTTTATTAAAATTTGATCTCAGGGCTAGAGAGCTGGCTCAGCAGTTAAGAGCACTGACTGCTCTTCCAGAGGTCCTGAGTTCAATTCCTAGCAACCATATGGTGGCTCACAACCATCTGTAACGAGATATCCAATGCCCTCTTCTAGTGTGTCTGAAGGGAGCTACAGTGTACTTAAATACATAAAATAATAAATAAAAATAATCTTTTTTAAAAAATTGATCTCATTAGTTATATAAAGTTATTTTTAGTTTTAATTTAACAAATTACTATGCCAGCATATCAGTAGAGGTCTGATATTATTGCTGTTGTTTTGAGATAGGCTAGCCTTAAACTTTTGATCGTCCAGCCATAAATTGAGATTATCATGCCTGTAGTTGAGATCATTCTTTGGCAAAAGATTAGAAAGATTTATAACCACAGCAGAAGCACAGCAAAACACTTAACTTCTGTAGATGGTAAAAACACATTATACGCAAATTCATACTGGAATTGGGTAGCCCTTGTCCACCATATTTGGTAGCAGAAGCATTTTGAATTTTATATTTTTCTTGATTTTAGAAAATGTATTTATATACTTATGTATATGTATTATATCTATACATCTATAGCTACATTTATTATGTATGTGCACACACACACACACATAAAATGAGACATTTTGAGGTTGGGATATAATTCTAAATACAAAGTTCCTTAGTGTCCAGGGTGCATCATATACATGTAGGTCACAAATGATGTCACACGGCATGTCAGAACTTGCATTCTAGCTGCAACTCACCATATAAGCTCAGGAGCAGAGTGCCTTGTGTCACGTCAGAACTTGGAGGTTGGAGGGATAGCTCCACAGTAATAACATTTATTATTCTTACATAGAACCAGAGTTCAAATCCCAGCATCCATGCAACACCATCTTCTAGCCTCTGTAGGCACCTGCATGCAGAAGCACACACGTTCATATGCACATTCTTATAACTTAAAAAATGGTTTTTAAAATTTTGAGAGTCTGAAAAAATGAGACTTATATTAAAGACATGCAACCTGTAGATTTTTCTAAAATCTTGAGATTCCATCTTTTTAGTATTACTAACAGTGTTAAGTAATCTTTAACACCAGGAGACCAAAGATAGACCTCCCCTCTGTCTGTTTCTTAAGTTTAATTTTTATGTAACAGTTTAAACATTTATGTAATTTACTTTGCAAACACATTTTTATAAAACTTTAATTTTCTGTAAGTGCTTCTCTATAAAGAAATTTACAGTAGTCATAGCCTATGTAGAAGAATCATAGTCATATTCAAGTTTTTGGTAGTGCTAAACTATTTTTCTGGTCTTATAAATTGATGCTCTAAAGAGAAGACTAGCCTTTCCACTATGTCACTGGGAAATGCTATAGAATACACGTAGATAATGGCGAGATGTCCAATACAGCGAGAAGCGACGCATTCTGCCTGATTTATGGTAGTCATAAATTAGGTCTGCAGTAAAGCGTTTTGAATTTTAGTAGAATGAGCTAGCATTGCCACACATCAATGTCACATTGTAATTAGACAATAGCAAAATCTGTGTGTCTGTCTCCAAGTGTCCAGTTCCATGAAAAAAGAAAGAATAACAATACCAAAATATAGTGACGCAGGTCGTGTTCCAGAATTAACTCTTGAGCTATTTAAATCTGTGGCCCTGGGACAGTCAGTGGATATGTTGGGTTCATATGATCTGACAATTGGAAGTGAGCTTGCGGTTCCTTACATGTTTGGACCCATTTTCACCAAAAGGGCCCAGGACAGAGCTAGCCTAAGATGCTGCATGTGCATAACTACTTACCGTAGCTGTATGCCTGCCTCCTCAGTTCCATCTGTAACATTTCTCAGGAGTGTAGCTGGGCGCATGAGACGGGCATCATGGCATATTTCTTAGATACATCAGCCATACTTTGTACAGAATTGCTTTTTTTGTGTGGTTTTGGGGATTTAACTAAGGCCTTATGTGTACTAGACAGACATTCAACACTGAGTCACATTGTCAGCTCTTTTTTCTTTTTAAATTACGGACAAAACTGTGGGTTTGTGTAAACATATGACTTGCCACAGTTTATTAGCATTGCAGTGGTCTTACTTGCATCTGTTCAGATTTGTGTTTTAACAGAGTATTTAAAGAGTAAAAAGTATTTAAAGTTTGGCTCAACTCTGCTGCTCACCTGGGTGATACTGAAACAGAAGAGTGTTATTTTGGAGATAAAATGTCTTTATAGGAGGAAGGCATTGCAAGAAACTGCAGTTATATCTCAGGAATGAACCTTCAAGAGACTGAGCAGTGTGATTATGTTCAGAGCAAGAACACTACTGCCTGGCCTGCAAACACGCTGAAGTCATGTGATTAGATGGGTAGCACTCTTGCACCTGTGGTGTGATGACAACAACCTTACCTACTTCACATGCATTCAGTTAGCAACTAGGGTCTGGTAGGAATTAGTGGTAAAATGACAGTTAAAGGATACAGTAAAGACCAGATTTCAATTGCTGTTAATGGCTAATTGTTCAAATTTAACCATGAAATTCCAAATATGTTTGAACACCATTGCCTCCACCCCATCAGTAGCATTTACTATGTGCCTCCTTTGTGTAGATGTCAAAGCCTCAAGAATATTTAGGTAGAAAAATTCAGCAGCATGAATTTCTCTTCTGTGTCATACAATAAAATTATTTTTACAAATGAGTAAAACAGATATACAGAATTATTTCTAAATTCTTCTATCTGGTAAGCAAATGAACTGAAATCTACATCATATCCAAACTCAGTCCAGAGGTGGTGACATATGCCTGCAATCCTAGCAGTTAGGAGGCAGAGGCAGGCATGGTGACATATACCTGCAATCTCAGCACTTAGCTAGCTGAGGCAGAAGGCTTGCTAGTTTGAGAGTTCTTCCAGGACTACAGGGGATGCTGCCTTAAAAATCTAAAACTAAAATGAAAACCAAGCAGAACCTAAACTCATGTTATCCTCTCAAAATGAGCCTCCGAGTCTCCTTTTTGAAGAGTTTTCAAGGATTTCAGCCACTGTCCTAAAATATTGATGTCCCTTGCCATATGCTAGCATGGGGACAGTTAAACACAGGTTCTCTTTCTGTCCCTGTAACTCTGTGATGTAATGATTTGAAGATGCGAATAAAGGCTTAGAACGTGGCAGGAGCTGACCGAGGCTTGCTCAAGGATATTTATCACTTGTTTTAGGAACAGCGTCTGTCGCGGTTGCGGGTCTCCTTGCAGCTCTTCGAATAACCAAGAACAAGCTCTCTGATCAGACAGTGCTGTTCCAGGGAGCTGGAGAGGTATCTGCCCTGTGTACTGTTTCCTGCATCTTAACTGACATGCAGCTAACTTTAGCCCAGTGCTGGCACCAGGCCTCAGGTGCTCACATAGAGTTAGAGTACAGCTATAGACAGAAGATTCTCTAAGTTTTAAGTCATCTTACATCATTGTAGGAGACTCTGGAAATGTAAAAACATTTTCACAGTTTAAATTCAAGAGATTATCAAATTTTACCCTTGACTTTGTTATTCATGCTTAAGGCTTGATACAGAATGAAGTTTCCAATGTGTGTTGTATATGACAATTTCAGTATTTAAATTAATATACTTGATCCCCCACTGTCATAGTTGAGAGTATTCATAGACACACGCACAGTCCAACCTGTACATATATAACTGTAAATGTTTTTTAAAAATATCATTTTGAATTAAAGATACATAGTACATCAAAACTATTCAACATTATAATCAAGACATTTGAAATCATTATACAAAAATTGTATAAGGTCAAATTATATAGTTTTTTGAAATCATTGTTAATACTCATTTAAAAGAAGAAAGCTAATTCACTTTCCAAACAGAATAAAATGTTTTTTGTGAGAAAACTTTCAAATCTCTCTAGAGTTACAGAATACAAAAATGAGAAAATACTATGGCTAGACAGTCATTTTGAGAAAAAAAATTAAACTTAATATTCTTATAAACAAAACAAGATGTCCTGTGGGCAGAAATGTGTATTCTGCATTTTTATTTAAACACAAGACCCAGAACTACAGTGAGTATGTTAAAGCATTCAGAATGAAATAACAGATCCACTTTCAAACAGATTACAACCCAGCCTATGTAGCGGCTCTGATATGTAAGGGCCTCATTTTCTAGTTGTCCCTTGCTGCCTTTATTCTGGTAAGGTCTTCTCTATTTCCAGAAGTTTCTAGTGAATAACCCAGGTCAGTTCTTTATTCTCAGCAGGAATAGCAATATTCCTGGTTTGCTGACTCATGGGCCTTGGTTTGTTCCAGAAAACGTGAGGTCTGTGGCATTTCACAGATTATTGCACTCTTCATCAAATTCCAGATAAGATGGTTTTTTTAACACTGGGAGAGATTCTGCAATACTTTGGCTAAATGACAGTGAATAAATGCTGGGCAACATATATTTCCTTTCAGTTTTATGCTGTTGTCTAATTGGTCAAGATCCCATCCAAGTGAGCAGGCCTCTTTAGTCCTGACAGTGAGCCATACGATCCAATGAGCCAGGCTGGCTGGTTATTGGGCTAAAGGTAGTGTTTTATTGGATCAGATATACTGGCATTTGGGGTGTCTCTGTCATATCTGTGCTGACTCGCAAACTGTATCATAGTGGTTGCGTTGTAATTAAAAGAAGTTAATGTTGGTCATTTTGCACCCAAATGTGACAAAAATGCTTAGTTCCTTGTACCAATTAATGACTAAAGCTCTGAAACTCAGTGGACAGAGCTGTTTTGCAATTCCTCACTAATGGACAAAACTGGGTGATGAGTAACCCTTGATAAGATATGTGGAACAGGTTTTAAAGTCCTTAACTTCATACCTTCTTTTCAGGCTGCTTTGGGGATTGCTCACCTGATTGTTATGGCCATGGAGAAGGAAGGTTTATCAAAGGAGGAAGCTAGAAAAAAGATATGGTTGGTTGACTCAAAAGGATTAATAGTTAAGGTAAGAAAAAAAGTCACTGTGTATGCCTGTTCTAATGACCATTCCACAGACTGCCATTGTTCTCACTGCCCCTTTAAGATGCAGTGTTAAAAGATTAGCATTTATGGGTTGGAGAGATCAGTTAGTGATGCACTGACTATACTCGGACAAGTACCTGTGTTCAAGCTCCAAAACCTAAATTTCAAAAAGCCAAGCACAGTGGCTCAAGCTTGGAATCCCAGTGCTAAGAAGACTGAGATGGATGGGTCCCTGGAGCTCTCGGGCCAGCTAGTATAACCTACTAGGTAAGTGTCTATCTAGGTTAGTAAGGGAACCCGTATGAAACAGGGAAATGGTAGGTGGGGGTAAGGAGCTCTTCCTGAAGTTGTCCTTTGACCTCCACATAAACCCTTACATTATACATGCACCTGCATACCTGTGCATACACCCACACACACACACACACACCCACAAGCCTTGCCATTTAGATTTACTAATAATGCTCCTGAATGAAGAGGAAAACTGTCTCAGGAATGCCTTCTGTTTATTAATAGAATTGAGTGTCTACTGGAACTGGTTCAGTTTTTCATGGAGGAAGTTGGATGCAGACACTGACACAGCACACTCTATGAAAAGCTGTCTGTTACTCAGCCAATTAGGAAGGAAGGAGAAGAGAGGGCTGCCCACTTACCTGCTACTTTGCCTGAGTTCTTGAAGGCTTGGAAGGGATTTTCATGGGAGGGACTTTCGTCCATTGGCTATTGGAATAAGCCAGTTTCCCATTTATGGTGACAGAAAGGCTTCATCTGTATGATTCTTGTGAAAACTTAGTAGGAACAAGTATGTAACCTGGCAGCTATATTACTGTTACTTCCTGGTGTGCCACTTTTTAAAAAACTGCTATAAAGTACACCTAACCCCCTTTTGTGTGACGATTGACCAGAGATAGCTGTGTCTTCTGCAGTACCGCATGGAAATGATCTGAATGAAACTCAGGTGTACCCAGAGCTGTGGAAAGTTTGCACTGCTGAGCCAGTAGTTTCTGTTTTAGGAAGTCTGTCCTGGAATTAGCATGTAGACATTGTTTTAGATGTGGGATATTATTAAGACAGTATTTGCAGTAGTGATGTTTAATCATATATTAATTTTAATGGTGATCTTTATACTTCCAAAATATAATTGTCAAATAGATTGTGGAATAGCCACAAGTGTAATAGAAATGTTTAATACTATTTTCAAAGAGCATTAAATAACATCTTAATGATGTAGTGTGTCAGATAAAAAGAAAATGCATATTTTATACAGTACATGATTTAAATGTGTGATGTCTGAAAGACACAGAAGATAAATCTCAGCTGCATTAGACTTTCCTATGCTCTTACTGCAGTTGTTATTTTATGATGCTAGCCTCTGAGCCCAGGGCTTCACGCGTCCTAGGCAAATGCTGCACTACTGAGCTATGCCCCTTGGTCTGGAAACTTACTTTGTTTGTAGGGCTGTTTTTGTATATTCCAAATTTTTAACAATTGTAATTATTAAAAGCCAGAAAAATGTTTAAAATTTGCATAATTGATAAATTTTGTCTTAAAGGAAGAGAAAGTATATGTAGAGCTGTCAATTTAAGTGTTGAGTGTAGCTTACTCTGTTGAGTTAGGGTCTCACTCTGTAACCCTGGATGGCCTGGGCCTTGTTATCTAGACAAGGCTGTCCTCCAACTCCCAGAGACCTGCCTGCCTCTCCCTCCTAAGTGCTAGGATTAAAGGCATGCACACCAGGCCTGGGCACCAGCAAGTTTAGTTTTCTAGGACTTGTTGCTTTTAAGAATCAGAATGCTTATAAACAATTATATACCATGGTCACATGACAGATATTGCAGTTGGGAAATAATGTTCACTGAGTAAAAGTTTCCACTAAACAGTTGTTCTAGATTTTAGTAAGTACATAATAAGGCACTTGATTTCAGGACACTCACAGCATAAGGGGGAAAAGTCAAGTTACCAATCACAGAGAGATAGGAAAGCACTGTTACAGAAATGTCACCGTGCGTGAGGGAGACAAGGAGGGAGGGAAGACTGAGGCACAGGCCTTTCCAAGGCTAAGTTGACAAGGAAGAGTTTGGAATTACTGTGGGGTCTCCAGAGACCCAAAATTCCCTGGACATGAAACTGAAAGGAAAGTGATGGTGGCAGGCCATGGAGAGTCCTGGCAGAAACTGAGGGTCGTGTGTCCCCTCTGGATCTTCCAAGTCACATGCGTAACTAGTCATACATGATAGTAGTTCACTGAGTAAATGAATGAGCAGCTTTCTGGTGAAGACACAGCATGTACCTTACTCTGCTGTAAGAGACCGAGTGTTAGAGTGGAAAGGAAAGACATGGCAGGTGTCACAGGGGACGTATGACTCGTGAGTCCTGAAGAGCAGTGAGCAGAGACAACTTGCCTTTTCAGTCATTCTGATGGCATTGTGGAGGATGGTTTGAGAGGAGTTAGAGTGAGAAAAAATAAACTAGATTCAGAGCTGCTGCAATAATCCACAAAAATTATCAGAGGCGTGAGTGAGAGAGGCTTGACTCCATAGATGTTTACAAGGAAGGGCTGGTGTTCTGAGAGCTTAGGAAGTGGGAAGGAGGAGCGGGGTAGAGAAGAGGTGTGCTGCACCCCAAGGTGTCTAGGTATAGAGAGAGTAAAGGGAAGCTAGTTTGAGGGGACACAGTGAGATGAGCTGACACAAAGCAAGCTCAGGATTCCTGTGGAGACGACAGCGGGAGTATCCTGCCATCCATTGAAATCCAGGACTGACCTTTAGGATAAGATCAGAGCTGGAAAGAGGGATGTTAGATGCCACGAAAAGCAACTACATAAATCATGTTGTCTCAGGAATGTATGGCATTCAGAGCCCACATAGTGGGAGTTCATGAGTGACATTTTAATGTGAAATCCACACAAGCATCCATAGCTGTTAGCATAACTTTAACATAGGTCCACTGAGCTGACACTCTAGGTTCCATGGACTGCAGTACTAGGAATGACTAAAGTTGTTGGTTAGACCCAGCCAGCAACGTTTACTTCATGTCCTTCACCTGCCAATGTTACAAGGTGTGTGTGTGTGTATGTATATAGGTATATATACATATATGTATGTATATTATACTTGGTAAGATGAAGTTATGTTTTAAAAGACTGTTGTATACTTAATAGCTAGCCTGTACACTAATATAAAACAGAACTCGTCAGTGCTAGTATAGTTGGGATCAGTTATTGGGTTACTGGTGATCTTTAAATACCCTACTTTAGTATTTTATAGCAAGAACTAATTGCTATCAGTTTAATCACCTAAATTAATACATTTTAATATAAATAGTCCAGTACTTACTAAATACACACATCTATAAAAATCTTCCCAGATGACAACAAGAAAGAATGATGTGAGGGACAGAACTGTCAGCTGAGCAGTCTCTCGCAGTGTTGCCAGAGTGGACAGGAGGCCACAACACAGACTGGGCCACACTCAGCCCATTGCTTAAGAGACTTTTGCTAATGAGCCAGCCCTGTGCTTAATCAGATCACTAAAGCAGGGAGTGTGCTGTGAACTCACATTCATGGAACAGGCTGGCTTCAGGGTGATTTGACTTCAGTTTTATTTTCTTCTATTCTATGTAATTTACTTCACTGTGTTTTTCTGTTTATAGTTACTTAGCTCTTGTAGAAGAGATAGTGAACATGGGCATGTTATATGCTATCATATAGTTGGGATAGTATTATTATTTCTTTTTGAAAAAAAAATGCTTAGGGCTAGAAACTCCAAGCTCTGTGACGTTTCTCTTTCCTCTGTTCTGTCAGAATCTGAGAGTGGCACTGTACCACTCAACAGTGATGACACTTTACATATGCTCGGAGAGACTTTGTAGCTTAGAAACAAGTATCCGGTTTGATTACTTTCTTCCTTTTCAATTCAAGTAAAAGATGACGTATGCATTTGTAGGTATTCATAACACTCATTGATTATATGCATGTGTTTTTTTAAACAGAAAATAATGACTATTGATATTTAACATGCAGGATTATTATTGGTGGAGTTCACTTCCTGTAGCCTTATATCTATCTTAGTTGTGTTTGAAAATGCATGTTCAATCTGGTTGCAAATTCTTGTAGTAAGAGTCAGCACAACATAGTGGGGGATTAAAGAGACAACCTGGCGAAGAAACTTCTAACTATTCCCAGTATGTTTGCCACAAGGACAGAAGGAAGAAATGAAGGGGGGAGCAGGGATAGAGGAAAAGGAGGCAGACTACCAAATCTGGGTTTTCTGGATAAACAGATCTCTATGAACCCTTTGCTAAAAGACCGCAAAAAGTAACTGTTCCTGAAAGGGAAGAAATGAGGTGATGGCAAGAGAGTGAGTGGGGCATGAGTTCATGTGTGTGCATATGTGCACATGTGTGTGCGTGTATGTGAGTGTGCATGTGTACAAATGTGCAAAAGCAACCAGTGACAGTAAAAGACTGGAAACCCCTCCGACCAAAGGTTGACATGTAACATATGGTTGATATGTAACAACATATGCAGAAAAAAATGCCCATCATAATACAGATAGCTCAATCTGCTCGACACAGACACTAGCACCACTGGGCACATACATGCATACATACATAACACACACTCACACATACATGTATGTGCTCACACATTATATATACCCACATGCACATACACACATATACCACACATGTGTATACTCGTACATTATATATTATACGTACACACACATAAAGATACATACATGCATGAATACACACATGTAATTCCTTGCTGGGGAGTGCCATCTTTATTAATCAGTTGTCTTATTTCTACCATGTGTGTATCTTTGGTCCAACTCAGGACCTGGAAACCCCATCTGGGTCCCCCAAGACTCCAGTATCTATCTGTCTATAGCAAGGGAAACAAAGAAAAAAAGAGACATTTTGTATATATAGGTGAGGTGACCGGCATAGGAGTATGTTTTAGGTCGGGGAAGGAGGAAA